GGCCAGTGGAGGCTGATGGAGTGCCACCCATTACTTCCTGCCACACCAGGGCAGTCACTAGGAGCTGCATCCCTAAGTGGGGGCCTGGAGAGTAGGCGTTAGCGTGGTGACAAGGAAGGCTGGGTAAGAGCTGAAGGTGTCCTGGGCAGATACAAAGCAGATACAAAGAAGCAAAAGGCTGTGTGTGTGTGTGGAGGGGGGGGGGGCGGAGAAGGGGGGGAACGAGACCCTGAGCAAGGAGGGAGGGGTGGAATGTTTAGACGAGGCTGAAGAGTGACGTCCGGAATTGGAACTTGGTCTGGTGAGCAGTGGGGGCCAATGGAGGTTAGCAGGTGTATGGGGGGGTGCAGGGAGGAAGGTCGGCAGCCACTGCGTGGAGACCGGGCTTAGGGAGGGTAAGAGCAAACCGGGAGAGTTCTGGTAGGTTAGTGTCAGCCAGGAGCGTGGCGCCGGGCAGTGGGGATGCTGGAGAGAGGTGAGAACCTAGGGATGGAGGGGAGTCCGGAGTGCCGCTTGGGCTCCGAGCTCGATCCCCGGCAAGGGGCGTGCAGGAGGCAGCCCATCGATGTCTGCTCTCACATCGACGTTCCTCTCCCATGAAAAAATCTAAAAGAAAGGAGTGCCGCCTAAGTTTATAACTTACACTTACGTGATGGGTGACACAACTATCACTCACGGAGATAGGCCACTTTGGAGGCGGGGCATAACCGGGAGGACGCCCTCCATGCCCCGCCTATCGGTGGGAAGGCGGCGCCGATTGGCTGTTTCGCGGAACGCGCCCAAAACTCAAGGGCGGTGCGGCATTTCGTCACTTCCGGGGCGTTTCCGATCCTCCCTGGGACCGCCTCCCCTGCTCCGGAAGTTCCGGGCAGCCATTCTGACTCCCCGACCTTGGGCTCCGCCTGGTTTGGTTGATCTCTACATCCTTCCTCCACCCTCCCCTACCTTCCCTCTCAGGTTTGACAGTCTCCGTCGGGCAGTCCGCCCCAGGATTTCGGGCCACAGCCTGCCGGTCGGCCCCTGGGGGTGCCTGACGACTGCAGCGCGGATAGTAGTTGCTACCGCTACTGATGGTTAGGGAAGGGGGGGCAGGAGGACCCCAACAGGTGTCTGCAGCCCCAGGAAACGTGGGGGGTTAACCTGACTGACAGCTTCCTCCTGTGGGCGCGTTACCCATTGCGTCAATGGCAGACCCGCCCTGAGTGCCAGCCCTGCATCCAGGCTCGCAGGCCTGGGAGGTCGCTGCGATGGAGGAGATCGCAGTGATAATGGCTGCAGCCGGCACCGCTGGGGCCAGGCACTGCGCCCAGACTGCTGTGCGGGTCCCGTCAGCCCTGCCCGGACCCAAGAAGAAAGGCATGAACTCCATTTCCGGCTGAGGGGACGGGATTTAGGAGCAGCGCATTGACTTGTCAAAACAGCAGCATCTTAGCGACAGGGAATGTGGAAATGGCTGAAACAAGCCTGATCCCCTGGCCCCGGGGGTGCCTGGGTCCTGGGAGGGAGGGGGAGGAGCAGGGTGTCTAAGGCAGGACGGGAGGGGGGGGGGGGGGGGAGGGGGAGTGCATTTTTAGTTACCAGCCCAGGTGAGGTTCCTGGGTCCCAGCCGCAGCTATAAACGGGGTTACGTCCTCCTTCCTGTTCCTTCACTTGATCTCCTGGTGGTGGATTTCTCCATGGATTCTAACCCAGGCTGCCCCGCCCCCCTTCCATGTCTGACCCTTGACCTCAGGGCCTGGAGTGAGCCTTGGACCTGCCGTGTTCCTCCCCTGCAGCCTGAACCTTCACTCCAGGAGGGGGGCTTTCTGCTGCCTGGGAAGCTGCCCAGGCATCCGGATCCTGGCTGTTTTCTTACCGTGCGGCTTCCTTCCTTGTGCTCCGTGCAGGATGTCGTCATTGGGCTCTCCTCCTGCTTCGTGTGCATCCTCGGGCCGTCCGGCTGGGTGCTCTCGCACCTGGAGAGCTACAAGAAGCGGGAGTGAGGGGCTGTCCCCCCGCCCCTGGGACCAGACCGCCCGCCTGTCCTGATCATGTCTGCCGCGTTCCTGGCCGCCTCCCCTGAAGCATGTCCTTCAGCGACAGTGGCCCCTTCTGCAATATGACCTCTTGATTTCTCCCTTGTGATCATGGGACCATGTGATTCAGTGTATAAGGCCTGCTGGGTAGGACCCACCTTGGAACAATAAAGTCTATGTAAATCCTGCTTCAGAAACTCATCGTGCCTTCCCCCTGGGCTTCTGCCTCCGTACTTGAGCTGAGGCTGGTGTTGGGTGGGGGTGTGGAGAAGGGGGCCCGCCTGGCTTCATGTCCCCGCTGGCTGACGGCGTGGTGGGTCCTGGGTGCCCAGCCATTCCCCCTGCGGTCTGGGAGGGCTCCTTCCTTCCCATGCTTTCCTGTGTTGAAAGGTTTTCACTTGGGAAAACAAACACTGTTGTTTTGGGGCAGCCTTTTGTGCTCACCTTCTCTGGCTCCCTTGGTTGTGCCAAGCTCAAGGCCGTGTGTGTGTGTGTGTGTGTGTGTGTGTGTGTGTGTGTGTGTGTGTTTCGCCCAATGGGGCCAGCTCTGCTGCTGGAGGCCTCTTTCCTGTGGGACCAGCCTTCCCTGCCCACAGTCGGAGCTCCAACCATTTCTCAGGTGGCGATGTCCTTCCTAGTGGGGGGACCGGACAGTGTCTTGCTTTTTTAGGTCAGCTCCAGGGCCCTTACCTTCTATCGCTACATCCGTAAGTGCTTATGGGCCGGCTGGCTTCTCCCTGCGCTTCTCTGTCCCTTCTCTGCTTGGGGAGTTGCTGCTCCTCCATCCCTAGGGCCCTTCCTGGGGACTGGGCGGCCGCCTTAGCTGGGAAACGTCCACACTGAGCTGGGATCCTGACTTCCGGTGTCTGGAAGGAACCCTCAGACGGCTGTTCCCACCTGGAGGGCAGCTTTCGCCTCCTTTGCATTCTCTGCCGGGGTCCCTTGCTCCGGGTGATTCTGGACAGACGCAGGTTCGGTGCTCCCTGTGGAGCTGCGGCCAGGACTTCTGGGCAGGATGGAGGGCAGAGCTGCCAGTTAAAGCTGAAGGGCCCTGGATGTCAGAACACATCTCCCCAAACCCTCTTGGGCGGGGCTCGTTTCCTGATCTGTGCTGACAGAAGCTCAGGATGAACCCTGCTCTCCCTTTTGTCTAATCTTTCCTGGCCTCTGTGTGGTGTCCAGTGATGCTGGGGGGCCCAGTGCCCAAGGCTCCTCCCTGAGGGGTGGGGAGTGGTTGCTGCCTCCTAAAAGCCTTGTTCCCCGCAGGCCAGCCTGTGTCTGGGCCTGGGGGGCAGGGCCTTGAATGCTGGGCGGTGTTCACAGGGTGGAGTACTGGCCAGGGGAGTGGGATGTAGGATCTGAGGGCCGACCTAAGCCAGGCTGGGTGCTGAGGGAGGAGCATCCGCCTGGCACCGCAGGTTCCTCAACAGCTCCCTTGTCTTTGGGGGGAGGGAGCCCATGGCTGTCACCTCCCAAACAACGGGGTCACCCCTGTCCCCTGCCTCAGTCCGGGAGGCTGTAGGGAGCGGCTATAGGGTCAAGCCTCATGCTGGCCTGTGGCAGAGCCCCATACAAGTCCCAGCTTGGAGGGCAGCCCTCCTAGCACAATGAAGCCTGACCTTCCAGTCCTCCCTTGTTCCGAGGCAGCTGATGGGCTGTGGGAGGTGCAGCAGGTGCTGCCAAAACAAGGCTTGAGTGAGGAAGTAGATTTGAAACTCACAAGAACATGTAAACATGTTGATGCCCCCCTTGCTTTGCTTTGTGTGATCTGACCATAAAATAAAGCTTCCCTTTGTCCTCACCCAGGCAGGACCCACCTGGTCCCCACTGTATTCTCTTGTCTGTCTGCTTTCATCCCCACCCCACGCCCCCTCGGTTCACCCCTGGCTGTGCTGGACGGTTCCCAAGGTTCTGAGCTGCGAGCTCAGGACACATGAGGCCACGGGCTGCCATGTGGCCAGAATGTGACCCCAGGACAGGAGAGGTGTCTGGGGTAACTCCGCTGTCCTGCCAAGGGTTTTGACTGGGTGTCCTCACTCCCCTGTCCTAGCAGGACCACTCCAGCCCAAAGCTGCACATCTCAGGCCACGGCGCCAGTTGACGAGAAGCGAGTGGTTACAGGCAAGTCCTTCAGAGCCCTGGCCTGAGCCCTGATCGAGCCCGGCAGCTCCTGGGCCCTTGTCTCCCACAGCTGCCGGGCCCGCGGCACGTGTGGGTGTGGGCAGGGTCACACTTGGGGGCAGATGCGAGAGGACGCGAGTGACCGGGCATGCGTGAGCCCCTTCTCCCTTTGGTTCTTGGTGTGGTTCTAGGCCTGAAGCCTGGTCACCTTTCAGCGTCCCTCTCCCACCCCCTGCAGAGAAATCGGGCTCCCCGTCCTCCCAACCAGCATTTCCTGTGTCTGTGCGGGGCCTGAGTCTGGAGGGTGGTGTCTGCATGGTGTGCATGCTGGGTGGGGGCAGGCTGCGGTCCTGGCCGATACCATGTCAAGAACGGGGGTGGGAGGCCTGGGTTTGAGGCCTGGTTTGGCCATTTACTGTATGACACCGGGGAAGTCGTTAGCCTCTCTGAGCCTCAGTTTTCATTATTTTAAATTAAGGTGTGCGACCAGCAGAATTGTGGCCTCCCAAAGATGTCCCGGTCCTCAGCCCTGGAATCTCTTTTCTTTTTAATATACAGAGAGGAAGGGAGAGGGATAGAGAGCTAGAAACATCGATGAGCGAGAAACATCCATCAGCTGCCTCCTGCACACCCCCCACTGGGGATGTGCCCGAAACCAAGGCACATGCCCCTGACCGGAATCGAACCTGGGACCCTTGCGTCCGCAGGCCGACGCTCTATCCACTGAGCCAAACCGGTTAGGGCAGCCCTGGAATCTGAATAGGTCACTTTACATGGCAAAGGGGACTCCACAGATGTGACTAAAATTAAGCGTGTTGAAGTGGAAGAGGATCCAATGGGCCCAGTGTAATCCTTATGGGGACGATGGACAAGGAAGGCGGAAAAAGGTCCTTTCGGGTGGACTCTGCCCACCTGCCTGCCTGCCATGCTGGCTTTGAAGGTGGAGAGAGTGGGCCGGGAGCCAAGGAATGCAGCGACCTCCGACCTCCGGGACCTGGGAACAGCCCTCCAGTACAGCCAGCAGCAACAGGGCCCCTCGTTCTGCAGCAGCAGCAACTGGATTCTGCCGACAACCTGCAGCGTGGGAAGCAGATGCTCCTTCAGAGCTCCCGGAGGGAACGCAGCCAGCAGACATGTATCCTTTCTGCCCGGTGGAACCCGGACCGGACCTCTGACCTCCAGGATGTGAAGTCGTACATTTGTGTTGTCAGCCGCCAGGTGTGTGGGGATGGTCGATGGTAGCAATAAGGCAACGGATGCACCTCCTGGTGCGGGGCGTGGAGGCTGTCCCCGGAGCGGCCGGCACCAGCGGACTGGACCCTCGCAGACTTGAGGTGTGGGGAGTGTGCGGTATTTACAGGAGGAGTGTGGGTTGGTGTGAGTCTGGGTGGGGCGGCTCTCTCTGCCCCCTCTGCCCCTCCTCTGCTTGCCTTTGGCCTTAGGGGGCCGGGACCCTGCAGGCGAGTATCAGCCCAGCTGGCAGCCTGTGCACCCGCCTGCCACGCGTCATTGGGCTGGCCTCTGCCTATGGAGCCCTGGGGGTTCCTGAGGTTCATGTGGGGCCAGGCATGCCCCCAGTCTTCAACCCGGCCTGGGAAAGGGTCACCGATCCCTCATCTTTGGCTCACCGTGGAGGCTCTTCCTGGCCATGGCCTTCCTGTGAGGCCCTCCCGGGGCCCGGGCCATGTCCTTGCTGCCAGGCCTCTTCCCTGGAGGTGGGAGGAATGGAGGGGGCCTGGCAGCCATGTGGCCCCTGGGGCCTGTGCCATTCAGTAAACTCTCTGAGACCAAGGTTTCCCAGTCCCTGGGTCCTGGTGCGGCATCGCCTCTCCCTCCACCTGACAATCCAGCTGGCATGGACGGGGATGCAGGCACACTGCGAGCCAGCCGGCTGTGAGGAGGCACCTGTGCCGTGTCTGCTGTGGGAAGGGAAGCCTGGGCTGCTGCCTGTTGCTTTGGTGACTGTCCAACAGCAGCGCTGGGCGTTACTGGTTGGCACACGGGGAGGCAGAGGGAGTCGAACTATGCTGGTGACTCCTGGCAAATGTGCGGTGGGCTGTAGATGCTTCAGGTAGAGAACCGAAACCCTAAGATGGTAAAAGTAACATTTACCATGGAATGAGGGTAAGAGCAGTTCTTCACTACCAAAGAGATGGACATGGAAAAGGGGGGGCAAAACTCGAGCCCCCTGCACCCTGACTGGTGTCTCGGTTGGACCGTCACCTGTGCACCAGAAGGTGGGGGTTTGATTCCTGGTCAGGCACATACCCAGGTTGTGGGTTCCATCCCCTGTCTGATCGATGTTTCTTACATTGATGTTTCTCTCCCTTCCTCTCTCTAAAATCAATTAAAAAAATAAAGCTGGGTACCCTGGGCCAGGTTCCTGCTCGCTGCTCTGCTGGACAAGGAGGGAGCAGCAGGTTGGAGAAAGAACCCCATTTACAGGCCCTTTGTACATCGGGTTGGGGTTTTGTTCTTTAAGCCCCAGGCCCTTGCGAGGGAGGCGTTGGCAGTCAGTGTAGCAAGCGATTCCTTCTGACTCCAGAGCAGCTGTGCTCCCTGTCCTGACCATTAGTCCCAACCTCAGCCCGCCCCCGCCATTCTCCCTCTCATCACAGACTCCCCCTTTGAAGTAAGGGAGGAGGGGGTAGGAGTTGTCTTATACCTATTTTCAAGAGCTAGTAAGATAGTTGATGATAAGACATTAGGCTTCAAGCTTTAGTAAAGCCTAATACGTTTTTGTCATCAACTGTCTTACTAGCTCTTCACAGAATATCAATTCTCTTCTACTGACTGGAGAGCTCGCTGGCAGTTACAGATTGTGCTGTTAAATCTGGAAAAGAAATGCAGTTTGGTAGGCATAGGGTCCACATTGGGTGGATCCTTTGCTTTCTTGACTTTGGAAGAAACCCCAGGCCCAATGACCCAGTAAGTAATTTGCCGTTTCTGGGACGCAGATTTGACTTTTGTAGTGTTGCTGTGGGGCGGTCACTGGGGGCTGTGTGGTGAGCCCAGGCACCAGTGCACCAGCTCCAGGACTGGACAAAGCTCATGGATGAAAGGACAGAACAGGACTGATGGCTGTGTCCTTAACCCCTCTTCCAAGAAAAAGCTGCAGAATGTATCAGTTACTCAGCCTGCCCTTATCTCGGCCAATGGGAAAGCGGGGGAAACTAGCCCAAGGCCAAGAGTATGCTAGCCACCCCCCTGTCTTTGTGTAACCAGACCCTAGCTGCACCCTGCCCTTGTGTCACTAGCCCTCAGCCCTCACTCAACCAGCTGGAATCAGCCAAATCACTGATAAGAGTGTGCCCCCACCCCCTGACCCCAAGCCCTATAAATTCTTTGTTCCCTTGGGACTCGGGGCTGGGGGGGTGTCTTGAAATCTGGGCATAACAATGGACACATTCGGTCACATTCCACTCCCGCACTGCCACCAGCTGAGGGGTCTGCCTGGGACTGGGGCACAGCTCCCGAGACCACTACTGCACCGTCCTGCAAAAGGCAGGGGCCAGAGCCCCAGGCGATCGCCTAACAGTAGCTTCAGCATCCAAGGCCTTACCGCTTCGTAACCTTTCAAGATTATATATATGCTTTAATTGATTTTAGAGAGAGAGGGAGAGAGAGGTAGAAACATCCATCAGCTGCCCTTCGAACGAACGCGATCTACTGGGGATTGAGCTCAAAAGCCAACCGGGGACTCTTGGTTCATGGGTCAATGCTCAACCAATGAGCAACACCGACCGGACTGGGCCACTTTGTAACCTTTGTAACCTTTTTATTAGGTTACAATTAGGTCACAGGCAATTTTAACAGACTGCACAGAAGCATTCTGTGTGCCCTTTACCCAGTTTCCTCCATTAGTAACATTTTGCAAAACTGTAATACAGCATATACTAGGATATTCATATACAGTTAGATACAGAATGTTTTGCCCTGGCCAGTGTGGCTCAGTCGGTTGAGCATCATCCTGGGAACTGAAAGGTCACTTAAAAAAAAAATCCTCACCCAGCCCTCGCCAGTTTGGCTCAGAGGATAGAGCATCGGCCTGCAGACTGAAGTGTCCCGGGTTCGATTCAGGTAAAGGGCACATGCCCAGGTTGTGGGCTGGATCCCCAGTAGGGAGCCTGCAGGAGGTAGCCAACCAATAAATCTGTCTCGCCATAACGGTTTGGCTCAGTGGATAGAGCATCGGCCTGCAGACTGAAGTGTCTCGGGTGCGATTCAGGTAAAGGGCACATGCCCAGGTTCTGGGCTGGATCCCCAGTAGGGAGCCTGCAGGAGGTAGCCAACCAATACATCTGTCTCGCCATAGCGGTTTGGCTCAGTGGATAGAGCATCGGCCTGGGGACTGAAGGGTCCCAGGTTCGATTCTGGTCAGGGGCACGTGCCTTGGTTGCCGGCACATCCCCAGTGGGGGGTGTACAGGAGGCAGCTGATTGATGTTTCTCTCTCATCAATGTTTCTAGCTCTCTGTCCCTCTCCCTTCCTCTCTGTAAAAAATCAATAAAATATATTAAAAAAAATAAATCTGTCTCATCATTGAAGTGTCTATCTCTCTCTCTCCCACTCCTCTCCCTTCCTCTTGGAAATCAATAAAAATATACTTTAAAAAGTTCTCACCCAAGGAGTGAAGAGATTTTTTCCATTGATTTTTGTAAGGGAGGAAAGAGAGAGAGAGAGAGAGACAGAGAGAGAGAGAAACATCGATTGGTTGCCTCCTACTGGCGCCCTACTGTGGCTGGGGATTGAATCTGCTACCAAAGTATATGCCCTTGACCAGGGAATCAAACCAGTGACCCTTTGAGGGTCGACACTCTAACCACTGAGTAAAATAGGCCAGGCCAAAGGTCACTGGTTTGATTCCCGGCCAGAGCACATGCCCAGGTTGTGAATTCAGATCGATCAGGGGCAGAGTGTGTATGAATTGGTTGGTTTCTCTTTCTCCCATCCTCTCTCTCTAAAAAAAATCAATAAAAACACACTGAAGCCCTGGCCCATGTGGCTGGGTTGGGCATCACCAGTGCACCCAACGGGTGCTGGTTCAATCCGTTAGGGCACGTGCCCAGGGCTGTGGGCTCAGTCCCCCCCCGTGAGGGGCTTGCAGGAAGCAGTCGAATCATTGATGCTTTCTCTCTGAAATAAAAATTATATTTAAAAAAATACAATAGACTAAAAAGAAAGATACAGAATGTTTCATCTCGTTTCCTTTTTACAACCACACTCACTTTCCTCCGGCCCCCACTCCTTCCTTAAGCCTGGCAGCCACTAATCCAGCGGTTCTCAACCTGTGGGTCGCGACCCTTTCACAGGGGTCGCCTAAGACCATCGGAAAACATATAAAATTACATATTGTTTACAGTAGCAAAATTACAGTTACGAAGTAGCAACGAAAATACTTTTATGGTTGGGGGTCACCACATGAGGAACTGTATTAAAGGGTCGCGGCATTAGGAAGGTTGAGAACCACTGCATCTGTTTTTCATTTTTATTAATGCCCTGCTTTTTTAAAAAAATATATTTCCATTGATTTCAGAGAGGAAAGGAGAGGGGGAGAGAGAACATCAATGATGAGAGAGCAGCATGGGCCGGTGGCCCCTCCTGGGGATGATGCCCGACCGGAAGCCCCCTCTTTCACCAAGACTCGCTCTTCCCATAACCAGAGGCGCGGCTCCGGAGTTGGGTCCCGGGAGCTGGTCTGGTTTTGGAATTGGGATAATGCTGGCCTCATAAAAAGATCTTGGAAGTCTTCCCTCCTCTTGAATTCTTTTAGAATAGTTTTAAGAGGATAATTATTAGTTCTTCTTTGAATGTTTCATCAAACTGTGAAGCTGTCTGGTCCAGGACTTTTGTTTGCTGGGAGTTTTGTTTTTTACTCCCTCAATTTCATTAGCTGTTATCAGTTTAGTCAGGTTTTCTGATTCTTCCTGATTAGGTTTGGAAGATTGTATTTTTCTAGGAATTTGTCCATTTCACCCAGCTTGTCCAGTTTGTTGGCATATATTTGTTCATAGTATTTGCTTACAATCCTTTGTATTTCTGTGGTGTCTGTTGTAATATTGCCTCTTTCATTTCTCATTTTATTTATTTGGGTCCTCTCTCTTTGTTTCCTGATGAGTCTGGCTAAAGGTTCATCACTCTTGTTTATCTTTTCAAAGAACCAGCTTTTGGAATAATTAATCTTTTGTACTATTGTTTTAGTCTCTACATCATTTATTTCTGCTCTGATCTTTACTATTTCCTTCCTCCTACTTTCTCTGGACTTTCTTGCTGTTATCTTTCTAATTCATTTAGCCGTAGGGTTAGGTAGTTTATCAGTGCTATCTCTTGTTTCTTGATGTAGAACTTTAATGCTATGAACTTCATTCTCAAGACTGCTTTTGCTGTGTCCCATAGGTTTTGTTTGGTTATGTGTTCATATAGATTTGTTTTCAGGAAATATTTTATTTCTTGCTTGATTTCATTGGGAACCCATTCATTGTTTAATAACATGCTATTTAGTCTTCATGTATTTGAATATATCTGAGCTTTTTTTTTTTGAGGAGTCGGGCCTTTCAAAATGGTGCCCCTCTCTCCGTTTTCACTCACGAGCTCGGCCCTGGAAACTAGTCGGTCCCTGGGGTGGGAGGGGCAGCGCCATTGCGGGCAGCGAGGGGACAGGCCGAGGCCCGGCTGCGGACCCGGACACCCAGGCCCCGGCCTCCACAGTTAGCGCCCCCCGCCCCTCCCGTCTCCGCC